TTTTAAATTAATTTTGTATTAAAATCGAGAAAAATTGAATTGAAAATAGCTCAAATTGCTTTAGTTTGCAAGTAAACTCTTACTTAAGCCATTATTTTGTTGAAATACTTTAATTCAGGTTGATTTCAGGCTTAAAAGTGAGTCAAATCGATTGAAAATACACAAATTGCTCTATTTCAGCCCAAAAATTGGGATTGGTTCAATTATTTTTATAAAATACAATAATTTTAAATTAATTCTGTATTAAAATCGAGAAAAATTGAATTGAAAATAGCTCAAATTGCTTTAGTTTGCAAGAAAATTCGTACTTAAGCCATTATTTTGTTGAAATACTTTGATTCAGGCTTAAAAGTGAGTCAAATCGATTGAAAATACACAAATTGCTTTATTTCAACGCAAAAATTGGGATTGAGGCAATTATTTTTATAAAATACTTTAATTTTAAATTAATTCTGTATTAAAATCTAGAAAAATTGAATACAAAATAGCCCAAATTGCCTTATTTTGGAAGAAAACTCTAATTTAAGACATTATTTTGATTCAGGTTAATTACCGGCTTAAAATTGAGACTTTACACAACAAAAACGAAGTTTATAAGTGTTAAAATATTTCTCAACTTGAGTACACATATTTCAGTATGCATGTAACACTTTTTATGAACTGTAACTGCAGTTTTCAGTAAGAGCGATTTATGTGAAAGATAATCGGATTGCCATTATTATTTGAATACGAAAATGGTTATTTTTTGCGGCATTAAATTTTCATCAAAATTTATAAGGAGCATTTATTTCGAACGTAAATCTAAGACGAAATTTAATTCTACTCACGTCAAAGGCATTAAACATAAGCGGGCGTAAGCTTCGGGAAGTGATCCAAAACCGAGACTTTCGTCTCGCGGGGCCAAATCATCTGCTGCTAGGACTGCCACTACCAACTCCTTCCGTTCATCGTGATACCAAACTTGAATTTGGATTCTTCCTGATACAGTTCGTTCCCTCGCAAGCTGTTCCTGAAAATTGTCTCGTAAAAATATGCAATAAAGCTTCATCGCTGTAAGGGATCAATTGTAATTTTTAGAGACAATAGCATCCGTTTTCCTTGATTTTTTTCTCTAGTAATAAATCGTGCAACACGCCGTGTTCGTCGTCGATACATGATTGAGATTGATGAGTAGATATCACACTTACGACTTGAAGCATTAAAGTCATGCGTGGATAGATGTAATAAGCACACATTTGTGCGTTTTAAGCACATAAAGCTCAACATTAAATTGGAAAAGAGTACAGGCAATCGTCTGTGCTCTTCTCCAGGAAAGTTTTCTGCTACAAACTAAGCAAGCATCATACGAAAGGAGTAGTGATAGAGCAGAAATTCGTGCCAGTTGGGACAGATAGCGGGTTTTCGCGTACCTAGAATGTAGTCCCGCGAAGTCCTCAGCGACAACTCAATTTTAAGGGAAGGGCTGTTTTAAAACAATTCGCATGTTTTTAGCACTTTAATGGGTACTGCATACATAGAGAGCACCTAGATTTGGACACCTGTCCCAGCTGACACCGACACAGTGATTCTACTAACACTTGGAAATTTACGCATACATCCCAGTAAATACTCGGATGGATGTGCTCTTAAAAAAATACATAAATGGGTACTAATAGATTTACATACTACAAGTGATATTGTCTTTTTTTTTGTTAACAATTACTTCGAAAATCTTTTCTTTCAAAAGCAAATGTCCGTCTGCGTCTTGTGCTTGTGATTTCTGAAACCGTTCATTTAAATTTGTGTTTTTGTGTTGGAATATCACGAGGAAAATGAATTTTAATGTAAAAGAGACAAGTGTGTTTACAAAATATTTATCCACAATATAAACGATTTGTAATCCCGAAAGACAAAAACGAACATTGATGAATGAAAATGTAACTATTGTATTTCAAGTGCAAAATGGATTGATATTTAAGAAATCTTTACCATTTAACATAAAAGTAGTATCTAGTTTTTACTTTAGTGCTACGGAACGTTTTGTAGTCTACATGTTTTGAAAAATCTATTTTAAACTGATTTTTTAACGTCAATTGTCTGCTCAATACAGGCTGCTCTGGCTAAACTCCACATTAAAAGTATGATATTTTTTGGGTATTGAGAGAATTTGTATAAGCTTATTCTATACCTAAGTTTAATCGTTTTTTTATCGTTTCGACTTTTTGAATTTTTGGATTTGCACTTTTCTCTTCAAAAATCTATTTTTGATTATTTTGGAATTGTAAAAGAGAAAAGTTAGATCATTTCTTTGGTGTCTTTAAACATAATTAACAAATAATTAACAAATCCCCAAAATTTAAGATTACGTTTGGGAAATTTCAATGATCTCCATAACGCATTTTTTTCAAATGGAAAGCCCCAATTTTTTTCTTATTGAATCAGGGATCTGACTTTTTTATAATGGAAGAAAGTCATTTCTAGAGCTTATTCCATATCTGGTGCGAACTGACAGTGACATAAAAGACACTTGGAGTGCGCCCACTTGCTTAAGGTAAAAAAATACATGGGCGTACTTTTTTTCTTTAAAAATTTTGAAGACAAGGATTGTTAGGAATATCATTTTTGAAAATTCTTTTCATGCGTTAACAATTTAATAATTTGTTCATTATTCTTCATCTTATGTACGAGTACCTACTTATTATAATTTTTTTAAGACACAAGAGGAAATATCTAACTTGTTTTTTTATATGCCTAAATTCGATTTTAAAATAATTAAAAGTGGTAGAATTATCGATTTTTGAAGAGGAAGGTGCAATTACAAAAAAAAAAGTTTAAATATTTCAAAAACAGTTAAACTTAGGCAGTGGCCTGAGCATGGTTCCGTGGGTTCCACGGAACACGGGCTTCAAAGAGGCGGACCCGTTCCGTTGTCCAATTACAAATTTAAGAAAGTCCAATTTTTTTTTATATTAGCTGTTAAAATTAGGTTCTGATGAGTAAAATATTGTTATGTCTGCTTGAACTCATAAATATAGGAAATGCTAAGCAGAATTAAATTCTCCTCCATTCAATGAAGAAAATTTGGATCCTTTGATTTAAAAAAAATGACTTATGAGTATTTTATTTTCCCAAAACGCAACGCTAAATTTTGGGTGTTTCTTAAAAAATTTTTTATTATGATCAATCATCAAAAGAAAGATCGATCATTTCTCTTTTAAATGGCAAAATACGATTTTATAATACAGTAGAACCCCTCTATAACGAAAACTGAAGGGGCTAACGTATTTTCGTTATAAACAGTCATGTCTAATAAAAGTTTTTAAACATGTACTATGCAAATTATTATATTAAAAACGAATATTAAACTAGTTTAAAACAATATTTAAGAAAAAAATCTGTAATTTTTGTTTGTTTTTGTAATAAAGCATTTTTATGTTATCAATTGCACTTTTCAATTATTGTTCAAGGCTCTTGTTCTTGTTTTTTTTAAATTGTTGCTAATGTAGAACTGCTAAATTTTTCTCTTTGCAGATTACAGATTGTTTTTTACCACTTTCGAACTCTGTTATTATTGATATTTTTTCTTGATAGAAAATGTTTTTCTTTTCGAGGACGACATATTGATACAGAAAGACAAAGTGTTCTCTGCTTGAGAAGTGATTCAACTGACTGAGAAAGTGAAAAATATAATTTATCACGCAAAAACATTTTCATTTATTTCTTCTTCTAGGAACTCTCGTTATAAACGATCTGTTTTCGAAATTTCTCAGAATTTCTCGCTATTACCGATCTTTGACAAAATAAAAGTTTTCTTATATCCACCTCAATTCCAAAAAAATACTCGCTATAAAGGGAGAATTTTATATAGAGTTGTATACAAAACGGCAAGGGACCAAACGATTTTTTTTGATTTTTCGTTATAACCTTGACTCGTTATAGAGGAGTTCCACTGTAGTTAAAAATTACAGAGTTAGAGAGATTTTTGAAGAGGAAAGTTCAAACTCAAATATTTTCAAAAAGTCTAAAAATCTTGAAAACGGTTGGACTTAGGTATAGGGAAGATCGATGATAACTCTCATAGATTAACTCGGGAATTTCAAAAAAGCAATAAAAACAGCTTTCTATTTAAATTAATACACTTACGATCAACCGGAAATACAAATACAAATACAAATTTTTAGACAAATATCATTATCAGAACTTCCAATAGTTCCGATGTGTTTTTTTATTATTATGTCTTTTTATATTATTATTATTCTTACATATTTTTTTGAATAATATAAAAATAATTATTGATTTAACACTGACATGGTGGAATGTCAAATCTTCAAAATTTGCTGCTTTACGTTTCACTGTCCTTTTTGTTAATAATAACGAGCTTAATAATTGCAAATTGCAAATCGAAAATAATAAATGAAACAGTTTGCACTTATAGAGTGGAGTAAAAAAAATGTAATTTATTCATAGATAAGTTTTTAAAGATAAAATATGAAATTCAGAAATTAAGAGGCGTGAAGACAACAATTCCTTGGTAAGCTTAACGAGGAAACGATCATTATCAGTAGATAAAATTTGTTGTTCTAGAGCCTATTCACACAGCACATTAGCAGTCCTAATTAAAACATACCTACCTAGAACATAGAATTACTCCCGCATTGTGCAAACTCCTAAAGACTAGATATTGAAAGGTCTGGAAACCGTTGTCTAGTGATTGAAGATCAAAGCCCCTTTTACTAGCAAAATTCATAGGGAAAATATCGAAGTAAACTAAAACATACCAACATTTCAGCGAATCGCTCGAAAAGGGTTTCCAGATTTTGTGCAAATATCAGGAAGTTTGATGTTATACAACGGTTGTCGATCCCACGAGATCAAAACAGAGCCTGGTAATTCAACGATGAATACGAGGGTATTTTAGTAACGATGATTAATCTTTCAACTGCTGTGGCGGTTTTACACATTCTAGACGGAGAAGGAGCTTTGTAATTCTTTTGTTGGAATATTAAATTTTTCGTGTGTTGTATGCATTAAATTGCCCAAGAAAAAGCTCACAAAAACTAAATTTATGTGACGTCGGCTGTTCCATTTTACACACAAGTCACAACATGAGCCTCAAAAAAATAAATGAACGGTTTATTTTAGGCGTTAAATACTTAAACGGACAGATGCTTAGACTTGTTAACATTGAATTTAATATTTCTACACATTCTGATATGTTAGTTTACTAAATAACAAATATAGTTTTATTATTATTATAATTATTTGTTTATATTGTTCTAAAAGCTCTCATTGGGGTCCTAACACTATGTCATGTATCTCCGAGTAATTTTTACAGAAAATAAAGGTTCAGAGCAACATTTTCCTTGGTAGAAAAGTAGAAAAGTGTCGATCTGAATGCTCTACTTGGTTGATTGTTTAATATTTTATTTAAAAATATTGGACCGAGCTTTTACCCTTTTTTTTTGGTTGTGACAAGAGTCGTGAAGTGTTGGAAAATGGGTCAATTGGGTATAAGCTTGGTCCACGACGGATAGATTTCGTACACTAAGGATACATTATGAAGTACAAAAATGCTACATAATACAACAATTAATTGTCTACTGTCAGTTTTAATTACAATGAGCCTTGTTAGCTAAGCATTACTATGATACAACTAAACATTACTTCATGCTACACATGGATCAAGTAAAGGCCAATTTCATATAAAATGATAACGAGATTAGCATTAGTAGTAGAGTATCACAGAGATGTAGATCAAGGACAACATACGAGCCAAGAACACCGATTACATCGATTACATGTTAATCATCAGATAACGAGTCGATAATAATTATGAAAGTCAATATTGTTCGATTTATCGAGGGCACAGTTTTAATTAGAAACTCGATTCGTCTATGGCTCCATTAAAATAGGTTTATTTGCTCGTTATCTAAATTTTCTATTAAAAGCTGCTTTACTGTATTTTCAGAGAAAACAAGTACATAATCCATTTTTGATTTAGTATTATAATATTGTTATTATTTTGTACTAAACGTCAGAGCTTGTGCCACTCAGTGCATTTCAGTGTTCAAATATGTTACCTAAAAGTTTGTTTGTCTTTACACGTTGATTGTGATTATCTCTATAACATTTTCCTATGAATTTACAAATCGCCCCAAGGAAGTAAAATCATAAAGTAATTGAAAGCAGTTACAGTGAAATATCATGCACTTCACTGGAGCTCCGTTAGAAATTTCTTTTTTACATTATGTACAATGAAATTTTGAAGAGTCGGACTTATTGTAACTTGCAGTTGAACTTTCTAATTTGATGTTAAAAAGTTGAAAAACAATTTTAATAAAGAGGATGAAACTTTCATGAAAAGAGAATTGGTCAAATTTTCGTAGCGATGAATAATATTTAAAGTTGGATTCGAACGAAAATTTTTACATGGTGACAATTAAAGTGATTTATATTTAAATTCTCTTTGACGTTGGTTTAAAGTCTGAATGGAAAATTGTTTATACCGGCGTTTTAGGAAGTTTCCGTCTTGTCGGCGACGAAGGCGTCTTGTCACTTTCCGGTTCTGGAAAAAGAAAAGTCAAAGGGTTACAGTTAGTAAATTTATACCTTTTTCACGTGATTCAAACGGAAAGAAAGAGCTTTGTTGAAAATCCAGTCAAACACTATTGTGCGGATAACAACAAGTTTAAATGACGAAAGTGGATTAGGCGAAAAGTTTCTCAAATTCATTCACACTAAGAAGAATTCATGGCTGTGAAAAGATTAGAAATTGTGTGTTATTAGTTACAAACTACACGACCAGTATTGCGGTTGCTAATCCATTTTTATTATCCACCGCCGAGAATATCATACTTGTAAAATTTGATCTAAGTAGAATATAGTTCTTTTACAATTAGAAAACATTAGATTTGTACTTATAATATCTAATAAAGTCAAAAAATTTTAACGCTTTACTAAATGACATCTTCTATACAGTCTAAAACTATCAACTTTTTTAAAAATAAATTTGTACCACATTTTTTTGTGTTTACTTTAATTGTTCAAATGTCTGAAACAAGCCTAGTGTTGTTTTTTAAAGGACCGTGACTTTTCTATGCAAATTAAAATTTAAAATAATAATACTTTAGTTTTTTTACAAAATTTTAACAAAACATCAATTTCTTTTAAAAACAATAATGTTTTATTCTATTTATGTTGTTTTTTTACGATTCGAAATAATTTTCAGATAATTATTTATAATTATGCCTTTACTAAATAGAAATCGGCTGTTCCATGCAAAAATACAGTAACCAACCTTAAAAAAAAAGAGTTTTGTAAATATTTTGGTTTATTTTCATGTAAATACCTACTCATTAGTAATTATTTGTTTAAAATTAATAAACAAAATTGTTTTTTCAAAAACAAACTACGTACAGCGCAGTCCTTTTTCCAGTGTAAAACACAGTATCTACAAAATTCCTTAGAAACGGTCGATTGTACTTCATTTTTTAAGTAGAAATAACTCAAATAGATTTGAAAAACAATTTTTTTATAATGTGATAATAAAAATATAAATTTACATAACAATATAAGCAAAAACTTTTAATCGATCCTTTAGTTGTTATTTTATATCTGCCAAAACTCTGTTTTGAGTTAAATTTAAAATGGTCATTTTTTTTAGAATTGAGTTGAAGGTAACAAAGTAAAAAACAATTGTAAAAAAAATGTAGAACAATTGTAAAAAACTGCCATCATTAGCATAAATCTAAATTACATTAAAAAATATTATAGCAGTATTATACCAGGTGAATAAAAAGTATGGAACCAAACGTTTTTTCCTTAAACTATATATTTTTTGAAAAAACTAATTGATGAGTGATAAAGTACTATAAAAATGTGATGATTTAACAAGAATAAAATTTTTCGAAATTTCCTTTTGTTTTTGAGTTCTACAAAAAAAAATATTTTTTTAAATGGCAACCCACTATAAAATCATTTTTCTCATAAAAGTTATACTCTAAGGATTAGAACTATCTGCTTTATATTTAATGTTTTCAAAAAAAATTTTTCACRTAAATTGCAATTTTGACAAAAAAAATGGCATAACTCAAAAACAAAACAAAATTTCGTTCTGAAAATACGATCATATTTTTTATATTACTTTAATCTATATTAATTATTATTTTCTGGAGGCAAATGATTAAAAATAAAACCGCTTGGTTCCATACTTTATATTCACCCTGTATAATAATGTAATAATATTATAACAACAAGAATTAAAATTTTACTTGGAACTAAATTACTTGAACTAATTAACACGTAATTCTTGAAGCTTTTTTTAAAAAAATTGCGAAAGTAAAACGCGAAGTGTGCTGAACGCCACACCTTTCCAAAATGATTAGGATATTTCGTCTTTTTTTGTTTTTTTTTTTCATCTTTTGTTCTTTATGTGAAAATTGTACCTTTGCTTTCGTAAAAGAATTCTTTCCTGCCAAAGAAGCAGAGGCGAATATTTGAAAATTATTGACAATAAACATGAAATACAATAACTTATTGTATTTTATGTTTAATAGCAATAATGTTCGAACTTTATTTTGAAATTAAAATATAATCTTTAATTAAAAAAAATGAGTTTTTTTTTGAAAAATTAAAATTACCTCTCCAGTTGAGACATCCTTTAGCTGTACTATTATTAATTAATGGCTCTTGTACTGAAAACTGCTTGAAATTGTATTTACTTTTTTTATTTTTAGAGATAAGTAGTATTTGGAACAATTAAAGTAATGAAAAAACACTATAAGATTTTTGTTATGTTTTAGAGATTTTTACACCTACGTCTTAAATTGCCTTTTAAAAACGGTATTTTTAAATTAAATAATACAGGGTGTTTCACATAATTTTACGAGGCCTGCGCCTGTAAGATGCAATCAATAATAATACATATTCCGATAAAAACTCGATTACAAATTTAAAAAAATTGGATAATCTGCTCCAGTTTGTTCACCCTTTAAAAAATTACAACGTTTTTTGTTAGTTAGTGATTAAGATAGAAACTATAATTATATTCATGCCATCTCTTGATAAAACAAATGATAATTGTTTTTGAAAAACTGCAGTTTATGACTATTAATGAAATAGTGATTAGTTTGGCAACTACTGTCATGGGTTTCGAAAAATTAAATAATTAAATGTGTATTTTTTGTATCCAGTGTCTTGTGACTTTTGTATATTTGGGTGCGTACATTAGGCGTAAGCTTCGTAAAGTTGTGTGAAACACCCTGTATGTGTGGAGAGCAAGTCATTCGGGAGGGCTGTTTAAATAAGTCATTTTTCGGTCCAGTAAAACATTAATTAAAACGCAGACACAGCGTTTTAGCTTGAGAAATCGCATACAAATTTTTTCAATGAAAAGGGTTACATATCGTATTTTGTAGAAAGTACGTGTATGGTTACAGTTACATAATTATACAGGGTTATTCATAAATATGAAGCAATATTTGAACCTCAAAAATGAGTTAAGTGATGTTAATTTAAAATATCTTTAAAACGGTCCATTTTATGGGTATTAAAGGTTTTGAGTTTTTTATTCAAAATTGACTACTCTATTGTTGTGATCAAAAAAACATTAATGTTAACCAGCCAATAAAACGAAAAAACACAGAAAATACGACATGTAATTGCTGGAACTGGAAAATGAGTAGATGTATCCGGTTTTCATAATTACTAGCCTAAAGGGTATGTTCTCACAAGTAACTATTCTTAATTTTATAATATTTGGTCAAATGGTTCCAAAATTATTTCAAAAAAAAAAAAAATTCCATACCCACATTCCGAGGGCTGTAATATTCTTATCAATAGAGATCGGACACGAGTTATTATTTAAATTAACATCATTTTATAGGTCATTTTTGAGGTTCAAATATTGCTTCATATTTATGAATAACCCTATATGTACGAGTACTTATAATTTATACACCTGCACATGACAAATTGGGTTATAACTTGTAATCTTACTCTATAAAATAGGTCAACTATAAATCCGGTCAGAAGTTACTGCAGCCATTTCTAAGATAAAATTTATGAGTTATATTTCACTAGCAATATTATTTCATTTTAAAATTTATCGAAAGCATTTAACTCAAAGACATAGTATTCTAACTATTAAAAAAGTCTTTCTGAAAGCACCTTATCATTTAAATAAATTGGAGTTCGACGTCAGAATAGTTGGAAAAGTTTTAAAAGCGTTTGTTTTTTTAAGGTCGTAGTTAGGTACCTTTATTTTCAATTGCGGTGTTTGACTGGATAGTAAAATAAACATTCTCATCACACAGAGGGTTCACTCACCGACGTGGAGCGCCGTTACCGTGGCATCTGACGGTTTCCGGTTTACGTTGGGAATGGGGTCATCCAAAAGGTCGCACATTCTCAAGTCGGTCGCATGTTCGACCAAAAGCTCAACCACGTCACCTGTGCGGTCCATTATAGAACACACTTCCTCAAACGAGCGGTCGATGAGAGAGACGCCTCCCCATTCAAGCACTTTATCGCCCTGCTGCAGACCTCCTTTTTCAGCAGGACCACCGGGGACGGTCCAGACGATGTACGCAAAAAGACGGCCATCGGGTGCTGTCTTGCCGCCCACGACGCGCATCCCGAAGCCTCGAGCTGAACAAAGAAATTAAATCTAAACTCTAAAATTTTGTGGTTTGTACCAAATAAGAAAATACAAAGCCTGTTTTTTTCTTTAAAATTTTAATGGGAAAATTGGGACATTTTTTTACTATCTAGAAATTTTGTTAAAAAGTTATGTTGATTAGAATTTTAAATTTTTAAGTTTTTGTTGGTATTACAGAAATTAGTTTTTTTTGTCTGTCTAGTACCGGGTGGGTCATCGTTAACGCGCATTTGATAAATCGCGACTTCAAATTAATTAAAACTGGCGATATTTCATATACCTAACTAATTATTAATAGGGTACAATTTGAGAATTTTTCTAATTTTTTTGGATAATAAATCAGTTCGTAACAGTTTTGTGTGTTTTATGAATACTTTCTGTTAATTTACCTATAAAGTTTTTACACTAAATGAATCTGTACCTATTAGCGCATCAAACTTTGATATCACAATTTCAAATTTTGACTTGGTTAGCCAAATAATCGCTTTTTTTATTTAAACACAAACCAGACTCGTGATTTATAACAAAATGGTATAATTTGCCAACAAAAGAATCATTTATTTGTAGCCGACAGCTTTGAAGGGTCTTTTTGTTGTAAACCTTGTAATCTTACCCCAATTGCTGCAGTTCCCCATTGTCACCTAAATTTACAAGTAGCAGGTCATAAATAAAAATGATTTTCAAAGTTAAGATGGAAAATTGCGTTTAATTCAAAATCTAATTGTTTTTTTTTTTGATTTTGTAAACAATTGTACATAGGAAGAGAATCTGCGTAGGTCAGTATAAAAATTATAATTAAATTTTGTGGGAGAACATTACTTTTGATTTTTTTTTGGCTTTGTTTGTGAATGAAAAATTACCAAAAAATTAGAGAATATACCTTACTAATGCCCAGGTAAGTGTGAAAAAATTCAACAATTTTATTTAATTAGAATTTAATTAGAATTAGAAGTGGGGATTTTCTTTTTGGGCGTAACGGATGCCCCACCCGGTACACAACAATTAAAATATTAAAATTAAATCTAAGCTCTAAAATTTTGCTGTTTGTACCAAATAAAAAAATACAAAGCCTGTTTTTTTCTTTAAAATTTTAATGGGAAAATTAGGACATTTTTTTACTATCTAGAAATTTTGTTAAAAAGTTATGTTGATTAAAATTTTAAATTTTTGAGTTTTTGTTGGTATTACAGAAATTAGTTTTTTTTTGTCTGTCTAGTACACAACAATTAAAATATTAAAATTACATCTAAACTCTAAAATTTTGCGGTTTTTATCAAATAAAAAAATACAAACCCTGTTTTTTTCCTTAAAATTGTAATGGGAAAATTGGGAGCATTTTTTATTATCTAGAAATTTTGTTAAAAAGTTTTGTTGATTAAAATTTTAAATTTTTGAGATTTTGTTGGTAATAATAATAATAACTTTATTTAACGGTAATATCCTTTACATTAAGTAATAATAAAATTATAATAGAAAACAAGCAACATATAAACATAATTAAAGAATACTAAATGACTAATTCAAAGAAAATTTCAGAAAACGCTTAAAGCTATTGAAGGATTTAAAATTAAAAAACTCTAACTTGACACTGTACATGTTACAAATTCTTAAAAAATCATTTAGAGGAGAATTAAATAGATAATTATTATGAGCAAACGAAATTTTGAATAGTTGGTTTGATCTGCTATTATACTGTGGAACTTGAAAATTAATTAAATTTAGTATTGAAGTATCATTTATCAAATTATTTAAAAGTTTATAAACAAAACATAAAGCCTGATATCTTCTTCTAATTTCAAGTGTAGAAAGAGACAAATAATTTAATGATATATTGTAATCATCTTGCACATAATAAGGCAGCAACCATTTTATATATTTAAAATTTTTTAACTGCATTGCTTCAAGCTTACCAACATGAATTTTGTAATGCGGATTCCGGATTATTAACAACATTGTTTTAATATCTAGAAATTTTGTTAAAAGGTATGTTGATTGAAATTTTAAATTTTTGAGTTTTTGTTGGTATTACAGAAATTAGTTTTTTTTGTCTGTCTAGTACACAACAATTAAAATATTAAAATTAAATCTAAACTAAAATTTTGCGGTTTGTACCAAATAAAAAAATACGAAGCCAGTTTTTTTCTTTAAAATTTTAATGGGAAAATTGGGAGCATTTTTTACTATCTAGAAATTTTGTTAAAAAGTTATGTTGATTAAAATTTTAAATTTTTGAGTTTTTGTTGGTATTACAGAAATTAGTTTTTTTGTCTGTCTAGTACATAACAATTAAAATATTAAAATTAAATCTAAACTAAAATTTTGCGGTTTGTACCAAATAAAAAAACGCAAAGCCTGTTTTTTTTCTTTAAAATAATTGGAAAATTGGGAACATTTTTTACTATCTAGAAATTTTGTTAAAAAGTTATGTTGATTAAAATTTTAAATTTTGTTGGTATTACAGAAATTAGTTTTTTTTGTCTGTTTAGTACACAACAATTGAAAAATATATAAAGTCTGTTTTTTATTTAAAAATGGAAATTACCAAGTCAAAATTTCGGTGAAAAAATTGGTAGCAGCTTGTTTCACTAGACACAAATTTTATTTGCTCTTTGTTTTTGTCTCTAGAAATTTTGTTAAAAAATTATTTTTATGTTTTTATGTTGTGATGTTGTCAAAATTTGGATTTTTATGAATCATGTGTGCCTGTTTACTCTTTGAAATCGCTATAATTGAATACCTGAAAACAGACATCATTACCTAAGGTCTGAAGACAAAATTCAGTGCTAAAAATTTTGATAGAAACACACCGCAAGTAACTATTTACAATGTTGTGGACAAAAATGAGGTTCTTGCTACAAAAATTTTGAAGAAAAAGGATGTATATACAGAAAAAAGTTATTTAGCAAAAGATACAAGTAGGTATTATTATGATTAGCAATAAATTTTGTGTAATTTATTGAAATGAGCTCAAGATTAATGCATTTTATAAATTCTTTTTCAGCTCTAGTTTCAAAACTGTTACTTTTTCAACTCGTTCCTCAAAAACGATGCACTGGACACTAATTTATTTGCCTTCTTTTCGAGGTTCTTTCTCATTCATGTTTATTTTGTATTCTTGTCAATTTCTTGCTAAAAATTGAGAATGTTAAGAAAACCTGCGTTACAAACTGCGTCTACATTTCAACGGGTTTTTTTTCTAGTTCTTGCGAACTATTTGTTTCCAAATTTCTAAAAACTGATAGCGGCACCGAATTTGTCCTTTTTTTGGTGTTCCTTAGACGATTTTTTGTGTTGACAAAATTTGATTTTAATTTAATATTCAAGATTTAAAAGACTTATTAAAAATTTAATTAATTATAAGCACTTTTCAACGACTATATTAGAGAAATTTTAAGGTCAAGAGTGCTTATAATCTATTGAAATGAAATTTAATTTCAACTTTTCTGGAATAGAAGACTTTAATCCATGCATTATGAGTTTTTATGATTGGTTTATTATGAATTAGTGTGTAAATGTATGAATATTGTTTAAAATAATCCTATGTTTATTAGTAGTAGTTTTATTTTATCCCGGCGCATCCACCATTTTTATTGTTTTTTTTTTAAGCAAGTTAAAATCTTAAAGTTATTTAATCTTAGGAATATTAATATTATATTTTAAAACACATCGGTAAATGTTATTTTAGATATAGCTTTTAAAAACCGTTTTTCTAGCATTGGATTTGACAAGAATAAGAGATTTTAGTATTAAGTATGCAAGTGATTCCACCATTTAAAACAGATAAATTCAAGTTCTTTGTCTTTATTTTTAAAAATTTTAAGCATAAAAAAATTTAATTTATTACTACAAAAACTAGTCTGCGAATTTCAGTTACACACAGCTCGCAGCAAACATTCTTTACTAATTAAAATTTCAAACTGTTTTATGAAAATCCATTTGACTTCAATGAAATCCAGCTATTTATTCGAACAATTAACAGCCATTTTCTCCGAGATTACAACAGTGCATTTGGCGAATGACACAAATAAATGTATCGCTTGAATTCTGTCTTTATCTAAATAGTATCGACTATTCTTGAAATTGAGCTGAATTTCCTGCAAATCCACTTTGAAAGAATTGTAGTTTTAGTGCAGAAAAGATTGAAAATATAGCAGTGTTACAAAATCGTGTTTAAGATTTTTATCTTCCTTGTGGTAATGAGATCTTGGTTTGTCGGAGACATTTTTTCAGATTTTTATCACAAAAAATTTCTTTCATGATTAGTCTTTTATAAGTTTACTTTTAAGCTTAGAAGACAATAAATAGAAGTGATTTTTATGTTAAAAACAGATTAATCGATTGCTTTAGATTCAAGTTTACGTTGTTGGTTGATAGCACCTGCTTCGAATTTAAAGTAGGTTAATGTTTTCTTTAAGTTTGGTAAATTGTCAAATGTTTACATTAAAGGATAGTCTTTAGTTTTCGATTAAACCGGACGGCTAAAGTATGTCTATTACTTCACTAGTTATAAATAAACCTAATTTAGCGAAGACATTTAGCGTAAGGGCCAGGAGTTAGGAAGCAGAATGTCTTAATATGACGTTATCAGTAAGCAAATCTTGTGTAATCGCTTAAATTACTAGGGCGGTTGTAGGCGGCGTTCAAGGCTTTTAAACGCCCCATGAGCTCAACAGGTTAGGGTGCTGTCACAAACACTAAGTCACGATATGTGGTTTTCTTCACCACATTTATGTTATGTTTTGTAATCGTTTATTTGACAGAAACATATTTTTACTTGATTTTTATCAATTTAGATCAAATCAATGTTTAGTGGAAAAAAATGTATAACATAAAGTCGAATTTTTTTAATGTAAAATTTTCAAAATTTACAAAATATACAGGGTGCCTATATTTGCACACAAGCTTACATTATTTTATAGATCTACACATTTAGCACCTAAGATCATCACTCTCAAACAAATTTATAGACTGTTAAACTGTTCATTTACTGGTTTCTATCTTCGTTGGTAGTTGGCAACAGGTCAATTGTATGTTCTCGGCTCATAAATTAACTGTCTCAGATCTCAGATCGATAATCACCCACTACGAACACTTAATTATATTGGATTTCAGTGGTATTCATCAGAACCAACCTATATTACTTCATTAGATTTCTTACCTTAGAGAAATAAAATCGTGAGTAGATTTGATTTAGTTTCTTTAGAATGATGTTGATAAAATTCAAAGAGTACAATATAAATTTTAATTAAATTTGGCAATTTGGCACTCTCCAACATCAAGGGGATGCTAAAATTAAATTATTCCAAATATATACAACCTTCTCAATACTGTCTGTACCAGTGTACGTGTTTCTAAACACAAGTTCACATCATTAGGAAGCTTACAATAAAAGTATATTATATTATTAGGAATTATTAAAAGTGAAAGTTTATGTGGCCAAGCTTAACGTTTATTTTAGCTGAGCATGACTAGTGTAGTTAGTAGTGCAAAATGTCGAATGTTGATGAGTTACAATGTTGCTGAAGTAGTGAAAGAGGCAAAAAAGAGCCAACATTGCTAAATGTCATGGTAAAAGTAAAACCATTTAGACAAAAAATTGAATTTTTACTTCTTTACTGAAACGTAAAACTTTTACTTGTGACATTTAGTCATAAAAGTGGTCATTTTTGCGACGTTGCTAATAATATTTATTTTTTATAATTATTAAGTAATTAAGTTGACAGTTTTTGTTAGCTATTTTGTTTTGCTGTAATTTGTGTAATTTATCAGACGATCAAAAATGTGGTACAAATTAAGCTTAAAGGAGGGATTAACTGCTCATGAGAGGTGAGCTTACATTTCCCTTGGGATTAAAGCTATTTGAGTTTGGCCCTCAAAATACAAAAATTGTTAAATTGTAATTAGAATATTTATAAGAAATAAATATAAACGTTGCAATATGTCTAAACTACTATTCAAAATTAATCAAATAAATAAATGATTTTTAAAGTGAAACTTTTATTACACCGCCTCAAAAATTTTCGTCCATTTATCGCGTGTCGCATTCCAGCCGGCCGCGGAATAGGGGTAAAGTGAAAAATAAAATAAAATAAAGTAAAATAAAATAAAATAAAAGAAAAGAAAAGAAAAGAAAAGAAAAGAAAAGAAAAGAAAAGAAAAGAAAAGAAAAGAAAAGAAAAGAAAAGAAAAGAAAAGAAAATAAGATAAAATAATAGTTATTTATTATACAAGATAAAATTCAATTTTATCATTGAGAGCAATTTAGCTAATATGCTCGAAAAGATAATGAAAATTATATCGTTGTGTACAATATAAAATTTTATTCAATCCTCACTAATTTTGTAGTTAATTTGGTCGATATTTATAAATGTCAATGTAAAATTTAACAATGAAATCTTTGTCAAAGCTTGTTAACAACTAACAACCGCAGACATACAACAATGGATGTATTTTTTATCATCTAGACGATAAAATTTCATTTTAACATGAAGAAAAAAGTAATTTTAACATTTGAATTGAATTGATTGAATAAATAAAATAATTAAAGTTTCACTTGCATCGTGGTTTTTTAAAACCACACATTTTTTTTTGTAAACAGACCAAAAATAAAAAGAAATACCAGAAATGTTAAAAAATTCTATCTATAAAAATTTCGAAGTTATGAAGGTTTAAATTTTGCACTTTGAGTATTTGTTTTTGTTGTAAAAATAATTTTACATTCTTTTTTGCTATAGACTGTATAGAAGTCGAAACAAAAAAGCTGTATCCTGAATTGTAACTAAGTTTAACGTTATTTGTAGCTTTTTATTGACAATGTTTTTGTACCTTTACTGAATAATTATGAAGAAACACCACTCTCCTATACAAAATCATCAGTATCATTAAATAGACATAAAAAATGTCAAATGTAAAAAAAATAAATATCGACATTTTTTGACAAATAGAATTTTTTTAAACATTTCTAATGTTTCTGGTATCCCACCTTACTCGGCATTTTCTTTTTTTTTGGCCTATTTACAGAACACCCTGTACCTTTATGTATCATTTTTTGTAAAAAAATGAGATTCGAAAGTGTTTTGCTTAATTTACATCTTAAAAAATGTTGAGAGTTGAAATATGCATTTTTCATTGACTATAAAATATTAGCAAAATCGAATTTTAAAAGTGCAATTTTACAATTTATTATTAGCTTCTTGTCGCATGAAACGTACAAAATAAAAAACAGATTTAATAAAAATTTAATAGGATTTTTATGAAAGTGTGTAAAAGAAAAATTTAATTACGCTAGAGAATGTTTATTATTACATTTTTTATATTACATTATTGTGCAAACAATTTGTTTATGTAAGAAAAATTCAGTTGTCCAATAAGGTGGAATATTGTTACTTCCTACGCAGATTTTTCAATTTTGGTAAAATTGTTTGTTAGGTATGTAATTTTATTTCCTCAAATTATGCATAAAAATGACACTACTTATTTAATATAATCTATTAAAAATCATTGTTTTTTGGCAATTTCGGTTATATACTTTTGATAACAAAAAACTTATTTTATTTTAAGATGGAAGTAGTTTTGAAATACCACCGATATAAATATGGAATCCGCAGTTAGTAAGTAGAGCAGGATCTGCATAAAGTATGAAATGGAATTCCATAACTCAAGAATTCTCATCGAGGAATATCTGCTCTGATATTGCACTAATGTGGTCATGATAATTGCGGGACATGCCTTTATAGATTCGAATTATTGCTCAAAATCGGTTATTAGTATTCTGCCTCCAGCGACGAGGGACTCAACAAACGTTACCAACTCGTGAAGTACGTTTCGAGTTAAAAAAAAAACCGAATTCGTTTAACGATTGCAAATTAACATTCAGGACGTGGACCTACTTCTGTGTGCCTTGTCGGTGGGGTCTCTCCTGAGGATAACTCGTCTCTGGGCGGCGGCCGTCGAGCCCGAATCCACGTCGTGGATGACGATTCGAATGGCCTCCGCGTCCACCGATGCTTGCCGCCTCGGGGCCGCTTCTAAATCCTCCAAAGCTGGAGTTGGTCGAGGGGCTGGCATTGTGCGCAATCCGGCGATGTCCGGCCTGAAACAATGTCAACTATGCAGATCGATTTTTTAACTTGTTGCAGAATGTGCTGAATGCGAACAGAAAAATAGTTTTGTTTGAAGTGTTTTAATCTTATTATAAAATTTGAATGGAAGAAGTCTTTTCTTAAAATTGYTGAAYTTAGAGAATAATAACTTTGACTCTAGTTGTTTTACATTTTTACATGCTCTTTTGCCACAKACTAGAAGTGGAAACAAATAAGCTGTATCATAAATTGATAAAAGTCAAAAATTGTGTTATTTTTAGCTTTTACTCGTATAATCGTTTAAGTATTTTTTTGAACGAAAAACGAAAAACTTGAAAATTATTTATTTGAATCAAAAACAACAAAACTTATGATATTTTCTAACAGAAACTTTACAATTTTGTTCAAGAATCATTATTTTTGTAATTTTAGAGCGTGTTGAAGTACATTTTTTGAATTCAAAAATATTTTTTTTAAACTTTTTTTTAGCTAAAAACGTAAATAGATACTATTTTTCTCAAAAATCACAGATTTTTAACTTTTTTAAACTTTGAAATACTTTTTTGTTTGAACGGACTAAATTTTTCACTTAAAAAGTCACTTTTTTACGATTTTTTTTTAAGAGATTTTGCTTAAATGTTAAATTTGCCTAATTTCGTACTATTAATACTCTATTATCTTTTTTTATTCAATTTTTTCTTTCTTCGATTTATTTAAAAAACAAAAATTTATCGAAAATCACCGGAAATCACATTATTGTTGCATTTTGTCAAGCTTCTTAAACATAACGTTTTTTTAGCTAAAAAGTTCTCTTTTGGAAGAAAATAAAATTTTTTACCTAAAAACTTCTTAAAAAACACTCTTTTCTATAAAAAATGACAAAATTCTTGACTTTTTTAAACGTTGAAGCGTTGAAGCGTTCTTGCAAAACAGGGCTACATTTTACTCTAAAAAATCGCTTTTTTTACTATACAGGGTGATTCTTAAATAGACCGACAAAATTTTATCCTTGGTAGTATTAAATGAGTACATACTGGAAGAAATATTAAAAAAATTCTTTGTTTAACCGTTCTCCAAATAAATTATATTAAAGTTATTTTTGAGGTAAAGCGTACGCCACTGATGTTTTCGTAAATAGTATTAGCACAGGTAGTGGAAACCATGGAATTAATTTGTTGATAATGTACTTGAACCACCGCCTCCTTAATCAAATGTATCAATATCCCGCCTGGGCATTTCGTAAAAAATGCATTGGAGCAGTGATTCCGATTTTTWCTTAGTTACGGGGGTTACTAAGGAAAAACTGAATGAGTTTTAATTATTAACGAAAAATAACGCAATTAATAAAAGCTGGGAAGGAAGGATACAACAAAACAAGATACGCCAGAGAGAATTGATATTATGAGGTTGCACCCTTTAAGCTAAAAAACTGGATTTGTCAAAAATTTTCCCCAGATTAAAGCGCCAACGGGGAATCAGTTGAACTCAAAAAATGCCCAGGCGAGAAAAGGATTATTTCTATGGAGACGGCGATGACTTGAACATTGCAACAATTCATAAACGCCGTAAGCGGCACGGATCAAGGGGGTTATGCCCCTAAAAGATATAAACGTAAAAAGGGTACAGTTTGTCTTCATTTATCCTTGGGAAGCTGTAATAAAATTTTGTCGGTTTATTTAAGAATCACTCTGTATTTTGCATAAATGTTAAGTTTGTGTAATTATCTTTATTTTCAATTTTTTTCCTAGTTTATTTAATTTTTAATTTTTATTACAAAATTTGAATGGAAGAAGTCTTTTTTTAAAATTGATGAACTTATAGAATAATAACTTTGACTCTTTTTGTTTCTGTTGTAAAAATAATTTTACATGCTCTTTTGCTACAGACTGTTAGAAGTGGAAACAAATAAGCTGTATTCTGAATTGATAAAAGTCAAAAATTGTGGTATTTTTAGCTTTTATAATCGTTTAAGCATTTTTTTGAACGAAAAACTTTCTCTATTTTTAAATTTTTCATAAAATGGCTAGAGAATTATTTATTTAACTTTACAATTTTGTTCAAGAATCATTATTTTTATACTTTTAGAGCGTGTTGAAGTACATTTTTTGAATTCAAAAATATTTTTTTAAACTTACTTGTTTTACAAAATTTTGTCAAAAATTCATCGAAAAATCACAGGAAATTACATTATTTTTGCTTTTTGTCAAGTTTCCTAAACTCGTTTT